TGCTCAAAGTAAAACGCGATATACTTTTTCGTATTTCAATTATATTATTCCATGATAAATATGAGCGCTATAATCAACCACTTAGGGGATACAAAGTTTACAAATCGACTAATAAACTTCCCAGGTAGATTTCGTGATCATCAATCACGTGAGGCAATCGATGATGAAGACTTAACAATTTTGTAAAAGCAATTTTTCATTTATAAAACAAATGTATTAATTATAAAATTTACATCATACAATAATGAAGACTTTTTTGTTGTATTAATGCGGCAAAAAATTTATAAAAAAGTTGCGCTCAGATCTTTAAGTTACATTTTACATGACATATTGCTTTGAGTAAACTTGTGATCATTTTTTCATATTTCTCTTGTATTTCTATTCTTTTAATTAATGTGATAAACACGAGTGTCTATGAACCACTCATAAGATACACCATCTTTATATATCGACTAATAGACTTCCTAGATGAATTTCATGATTATCACGACAATGATAAGAATTTTTAACAATTTTTAACAATTTCTTAAGTATTATTTATTTATTATTGAATTAATTATTAAATTTACATCATACAATAATGAGGTTTTTTTGTTATATTAATACAACAAAAATTTATTAAAAATTATTCACTCAGATTTCAATATTAAATTTTACATGACATTGGCTGGGCCAAATTTTGATAAATTTTTTCTTTAAAATAAATTTTTTTTTTTTTATAAATTTCTTTTATGTTTTTATTTTGTTATTTTATGATAAATATTAGGGCCATATGTACCACTCATAAAGGATGCAAACTTTACAAATCGGCTCAAGTTACTATAAATTTTTCGGATACCTGTTTCTATATGGATATATATTTATATCTATCATATATTTCTTTGTCTCTTCTTGTACTTTCTGTATAATCATTTATACAAAGTTTACGAGACTTTTTTTAGGCAAACTCATACAATGATATTTTTCATTTCTGTTTATAAATTACTTTTGTACGTTACATACCTCTAGTATTTTGACAGCTCTCAAACTTTTCAGTACTCAAGCTCGTGTTCAGAGCTTCGCAGTCTCATTAAATCTCGCGCATTCGTAAACTTGCCCGAAAACAAGTGTCGCGAGCAAACGGTCGTTTAAGCAAACGGCCGGTACGTACCGGAAATAATATTTCGACGAAAAAGAGAAAGATTGTGTGCGCGCGCTCACGAGCGAGCGACAATCGACAATGCGAAAAAAAAGGAGGAAAAAGAATTTCCCGCTCGTTCAGGGAAGGACAAGGCGAGCTCGTCAGAGGTTTCGCCGCTTGTCAGTCAGGTGGGTAGAAAATAGAGCTTGCATTATTAACGGAGCACTATACCGGAATTCGAGGATCAGCGTGCAAGAGAGGAGAAAAAGCGAGCGCGAGAGACCGGGAGAAAGAGAGAGAGGGAGAGACAGAGAGAAAGGGTGAAAGGTCGGGGGAAGGGAAGAGAGCAGGCAGGCAGGCGAACGCGTTTCTCTCGTCTGAGAGTGGACGAGAGTGGAAGCCATCCTCTTTTCCGTACGAGCTCGGCCGTCACTCCCCAGCCACCCTTCGCCGCCCCTGACCAGTCCCCTGAATTCAACCCTTCTCCGACCTCCATCTCTTCCTCCTCTTCCTCCGCCGCCTCCTCCTCTACCTCCTCCGCCTCGTCCTCCTCCACCTGCTCGTCCTGCTGCCGCGCGCTGGTGGTACATCGCCACCGGTTTCATCAGCTCGCGATTAATTTTAATCTAAAACCACCCGCAAAGCCTCTGAACCCCCGCACGCCCTCGCTCACAGCGGCTGAGGTCAACCCCTTTCGCCACCCCCCGCACCCACTGCTCCCCCGCGCTGGTCCCCCTTCTCTGCCGCTTTTCGAGAGAGTGCCAGATTGGCCCAGAGCTTTCAGCTTCCCTTCCGATCCCCCGTCTGCCCGAGATCCGACCTACGTTCGCCGAAACACACAGGTGAGGCGTGGAGACGAACGCGGTTGACTTCCCGCGAATTTCGGACGGCCAACGCGGCTCGCGTAAAATGCTTAAGACACCCTGGACTCTTTCTCCATTCGCACTCTTCGCATTGAACTTCAAGTCGCGCCGCAAGAGCAGCATTTGCGATTTCTCAACCCTTGACCGTGGTTCATTCAAAAAAACGTTGGGATCTTCAGCCGCAAGATCTTTCATTTGTTCGGTTTGCAATTCTGTATCCGCGCGCTTTCTCCTCTCCTTTTATTTCATTCTGAAATCTCATCTATATCTTGAAATTTCAAAATTTTACACTGATTTTGAAATCCATATCCAAATTTCAAAGCTTTTTATAGTCATTTTGGAATTTCATATTTACTTCAACACTTCAAAATTTCACTTTCATTTTAAGATTTCATATTCTTTTGAGAGTTCCACACTTATTTTGGAATCAGGATTTCAAAATTGCACATTTATTTTGAAGTCGCAAATTTCACATTTGTTCTAAAATGTGTCATTTTAAAATTTCATATTCATTTTAAGATTTAAAAATTTCACACTTATTCCGAAATTTCAAAATTCACTTTAAAATTTCATATCTCTTTTTAAAATTTCACACCGATTTCAAAACTTTATATTCATTTCGACATCTCAAAATTCCACGTTCATTTTGAAATTTTCCATTCACTTTGAAATTAAAAGTTTCACATTCTCGTTTCGAACTTCCATCTCGGATTATATCCATCTCGGAATTTCAGAAAATCTCACACTCAATTTGAAATTTCACATTGCTTGAGCCTTCATGCTGGTCGCACCATCAATCGCCGGCGAGATACGCGATTCTCTCTCCTCCGCCTGTCGATGAAAAAATCGCCGTAGCTCGCCGCAACAGCGTCGATCGCGCGGATGCTCGTGCTCTCGACGTGGAGCGATTTAATCTTTAAAGCACACCCGCAGCCACCTATCCTCTCCGTGGAGAGATCCACTGGAAATCGTTTTCACGGATACGTCGCCGGAAAGAGCCAGCGCGTCGTCGCGGCGCTTCCGATAACGCACGCTCTCTCGGCCGCATCGGATGCACGTTCCGTGTTGCAGCAGCAGCAACAGCGACGTCGTTGTTGCGCAACAATGCAACGGTTATTGGTGCACTCTTGTGCTCCCTCTCTCCCCCCCCCTCTCTCTCTCTCTCTCTCGTCGTTGATACACACGCACACCACGCGCGACAGCGCGCGCGCACACACGCGGCAGCTTCTCAATTTTTCAATATTCCCCGTACGCGACTTGGAGCGTAACCGGATTACAGCAGCCGAGAATGGCTCTTTCGGTGTACCCGCGCCGTCGAAGCGCTGCCGGGGGTGGTCGGGGGCTACGACGGCGGCGTAGCCACCCCCCGCAGAGAAAAGGAGGAAAAAGGAGCGAGAGATCCCGCGCGGAGAAAGAGAAGAGGAATGCTTGCTCGATTAATATACATATCGCGAGCTCCCTCTCGGCTTCGACATTTCAGGGGGCAACATCGCCGCTTGCGCTATCCGCGAGCTTCAGGCAGCGGCATCAGCGACGACGACGGCGGCTTCGGCGGTGGCTGCAGCTCCCGGTGGGCTTTGAATATCCACCAATTTCCTGCCGATATTTGTGTGACGAGCGCGCTTCAACCGGCCCGGCGCGTGAGTGCAATCGGTAATGCGAAAGCGCTCCTTCTTTTTGCTTTCTTCCTTTTCCTTCTTTGTCCTCCTGCGAGTTTCTTCTTTTCTCCCCCTTTCCCTCTGATATTCCACGCTTCTCTCTCCTCCCCCCTCTCTCACTCACTCATTCGCTCACTTATTTACTCACTCACTCCTCTTGCTCCTTCTACGTTACACAGGATAATCCAACGCTTTCTTCACGACGTCGTAGCGCTCCACGTTCTTATTAACGCAAAAAAATGCGGAACGCGCTGCGACGAAGTATGAGGTTCGCGCGGAGATTGCATATTGTGCTGTTGTGGGAATAATATCGGTTGTGTGCCGTAGCGTAGCTGCAACGTATTAGACGTCAAGATCAGAAATTACTATCGCGTAAGTATCAGATAGCCGGGAAGTTCGCACACGGCTTCGATGGCGCGTCAACTTCATGAGTGCTCAATGACTTCATTCTGTATGCACAGTTGGTTTCATGTACGATTTGAACACAATGCAGCTCGGAACGCAGCTGATGTCCGATAGAAAGTCTTATTTTTGAACAATTAAGTTCCCTATTGGACATGGGATGCGTTGCAAAATGAATATGACATTCAAAAATGTCGAGATGAATGTAAAGTTTCAAATGGATGCGAAATTTTAAAATTTTACAATAAAAATGGAATTTCAAAATAAGCGTGTAATTTTGAAATTTTACAGTGAAAATGAAATTACAAAAGGAATAGGAAATCTTGAAATTATGAAAAAAGAATAAATAAAAAAAATTTAATTTAAGAATGGGTAGAAATTTTTAAGTGAAATTTCAAGATAAACGCGAGATTTTTAAATCCCAAAGTAAATATGAAATTTCAAAACAAGTGCGAAATTTTGAAATCTCGAAATGAATGTGAAATTTCAAAATAAGTGTAAAACAGATGTATTACGTTGAAGAAAAAGTGCAAACTATATTGAAATTAATTTTACGCTCACTTGCAGAGCGACTTCCAAACACGTTTCCTTCAAAGTTCTTCAGAATGCAGTCGACTTCCAATGACAGAATCCGCTGTTGGATATTTCTCCAAAAATAGATTCTCTCGTTGCACGTCAGATGCGTCTTAAAATGCTTAAAAAAATATTTAAAGTATATTGAAACTAAGTTTCCACTTGTTTGCAGAACGGTACACGTTTGTACACGTTTTCTTTAAAGTTCTTCGAAACGCAGCCGACTTTCAGTGACAGAATCTGCTGTTGGGAATTTTCCAAAAATAAATTCTCTCTAGATCCGCACGTCGGATGCATCTCGATATGTTTGGAAAAAAGTGTTCGAAACATTCTACAGACGAGTGTATATCATGAATATCGCACGAAGCTGCAATTCTCTTGTAGCGAGCGGCCTGATCTATCAGCAACGTCAACAGCAACAATACAGCAGCGTGACGAGGGACCCTCGAGGATCCTCACCGTCGTCCAGTCGGCCGGCCAGCGCCTCCTCCTCGACTTCCCAGTGGCAGTCGACCTTCTCCTCCGTCTCCTCCGAGACGTTCTTGCCGCGACAGGAGAACTGGAACTCCGAGGTCTACGCCTCGAAACGAAGCGGCACGCCGACCTGGACGGAACTGGGCACGCAGTTGGACCCGCGGAACCCATCCTGGGATCGGCAGAACGGATGCTACCAGAAGAAAGGCTCGCCTGTGTCCACCTGGAACGCGGATCACATCGGCAAGAGGCCGTCCTCCGCGACTGGTGGTGTTCCCACCTGGAGCGACGTGGCGGTCGGCTATCAGCAACAGCGACGCGGCTCCCTGCAGCTGTGGCAGTTCTTGGTGGCTCTGCTGGACGACCCAGCGAACGCGCCTTGCATCGCGTGGACCGGTCGCGGCATGGAATTCAAGCTCATCGAGCCGGAAGAAGTGCGTAAAGAAAAAAAGCTGTCAAATTTAGTTGCAAAGAATTTGTATATAACTCTCTTAATTTCTTGGAATGAAATTTCGCTCGTACAACTCTTCACTCTACTTCTGAATCATTCGAGTCACTCAAATTCGAATAATTGTTTACGTATGTAGAGCGAATTTTCTATCCTGAATCTTTAAGTGAATATTCTTACTCTTATGATTTCGCAAACAGTATTTTCTACATTCTTACTACAGTATTTTTTATATTCTTACTAATGAATTTTTACATTTACAGTAAAATTTTAAATTCGAAAGATTTAGAGAAAATATTTTCAAAAATTGGAAAAAAAGAAATATTAATGTGTGACTTAATTTCAATACAGTTTGCACACTTTTTATATTCACTTTGAAATTTAAAAATCTATAACTTATCTTGAGATTTCACAACATACTCATTTCAAAATTTCACACTTATTTTTAAACTTTACTTTTTATTTAATTTTTTTCTCGATTTTCTTGGAAAAATTCAGAAAAAAGATGATCTGTCTGTTTCTATGACCGAAATATTCATCTGAGTGTTCAAACTCGGTTGAAATCGAGGGTGGAAACCTCGTACAGAAATCTTTCCATTTCTGTAACTAAGTTCTTGTCTTGTTATATTCTGTAACTAAGTTTTTGTCTAGTCATATATAGGGAGAATGTTATATATAGTTTTTTTTCGAGATTGAGCAGGAAGGTAAGTTCATTTCTTTTTAAACCAAGTTAAGTTTACTGGCACTTAAATTAGCTTACTTTACGTTAAAAATGATACAAACAAAAACTAACTCAATTAAAAGTCAGATTAACGTTAAATTAACTTTCCATATAGCAAATGTTCACTAAATATCCTAAGCACGTTTTAAGAATATTCGAATATTCTCAGGATATTTATTGAACATTTGTGCTGTATGAGTTATTAAAGTTAAAAGTTAATTTCGCAAAGCCAGAAATATATTTTTTTTGTATAGTTAACTTTTTAATTGAAGATTACATTTGTAAATTAAATAAAAAGATAATTTTTTATTTTAAAAAATATACTAAGTGTGTTTTAATGCTCAAAATTCTATATAAAAAAAAAACATTCAGAGTTGTTCAGAGAGACGAAAAAAATTTTTCTGTCATTATTTTTTATTTTCCTTATTCTATATTGTTAACAATTGAAAATGATTTAAGTATTGGTAAATTATTTTGACTTGTGTAAAAAAATTAATAAATTGAAATTAATACATTTTAAAATAACTAATTTAAATTAATTTAAATTGATTCATTCAAAATTATCTATTAAGTTAAGAGTTACTAACTTTTTAACGTTTTATCTTAACTTTTAACAGACTAAATAATTATTACCCAACTCTACTTTTTCCTATAAAGTTTTTTTTTTTTCAATTTTACTCTGTTTTCTAATAATATAAGAATAGATTAGTAATAGAGTTTATTTTGCATTAAGGAATATATTTTTGAATAGCAGACTTCAGTTTCTTTAAAATACGCATGAAACGGAAGGATAATAAATTAAGGAGCAGAATGTCGATATATTCGTCGATTATACAAAATTCTATAGTATTATAAATTAATATTCAATTAAATATTAAGATAACACACACACACACACACACACACACATATATATATATATATATATATATATATATATATATATATATAACATGCACGAGTCAGACATTTTCTCAAAGTCAGTTTTCTGTAAACTCGAACAACAGGAGGGAGAGACTCTTTTGAGAGATAAAAGTTTCCCGTTGCACTTGTTGCAGGTTGCGCGCAGATGGGGCGTTCAGAAGAACAGACCGGCAATGAATTACGACAAGCTGAGCCGCTCGCTAAGATACTATTACGAGAAAGGCATAATGCAGAAGGTCGCCGGCGAGCGATACGTGTACAAGTTTGTTTGCGACCCGGAAGCGCTCTTCAACATGGCGTACGGCACGGGCGCGTCCTCCGGGATTACCGCCGGCGAAGTTCAGAGCAGTATGGTACGAAGTCACGCGGTAGCCGGGAAAGGGACGGGCGGGAACGAGGTCCCGGATTTGATGAAGCATCCCGTCGCCACCGCCGCCGGTTACAGCGACGCGGTCTTCGCCATGTACTCGAACACCGCCGCGGGTTAGTCTTACTCTCGCCCTTCTTCCACCCGAAAACCCGCTAATTATCCACCGTATGAAAATTCACGACGTCATTTAGAGAGGGAAAGAGAAAGGGAGAAGGGGGAGAAAGAGAGAGAGAGAGAGAGAGAGAGAGAGAAGGAAGGAGGAAGAGATGGAGAGATCTCGCCGGCCGGAAATCATCCGTCGTCTTTTATTCACAGTGTACGGACCCTCCAGCCTCCACCACCTGCATCAATACCTCGGCGGTAACGAGGGCTTCAAAACGCCGTCGAGCAGATACCACCCCCATTACCCGCACCAGTACGGCGGCAATCATCACCACCACCATCACCATCACCCAACCGCGAGTTACACGGAGACCTTCCTGAACTACAGTCGATTGTCGTCGCATGAGCCCGCTACTCTCGACTCGAAGACGGCGCAGGAACCGCCGCTGCCACCAGCCTCGGCAGCGGCGACGAGGGATCCCGGATACAGTGTCCAAGACACCGACAGTACCGGCAGAGATCGGGAGGCCGCGTCGATACCTTACGAGAGCGTCGTGCAGAGATCGCAGTTGCCGGCAGCAACCGCACAATCCTCGATACTGGACGACACAGCGAGCTCCAAGATCGAGCAGGCACCGTACACGTGTCTCGGTGTCGGCAGCTGCGTCTGTTAAGATGATCAATGTGATCGAGATTCGTCGTTTGCGTATTATACAAACGGGATTGTCGATCTGGCTCACGACGACGACAAGGAGGGGATGTGATCCGCTCCGAGAATCGTCGGGACGATCTTGTATCTTGTACATAGCGTCGTTCGTTTCGTTCGTTTCGCGTCGTTTGCGCGCGCATCGAACTGTGCATCGTCAGAGACGTCGGATCAAACTTTGTAAACTTCGTCCGCTGCTTCTCTCAGTCGCGAGACACTCCGGATTCTTCTGATCCGCGCCGAGCCGTTATCTCCGATCGTTACACTGCGTGCGCGCGTGTTCTAGTAGTTCATCGCGACTGTGTAATATTTATTTTATAAATATTAAATAAACCACTGTCTCTCTGTCTCTCTCTATCAATAGGATAACGCCTTGCGACTGGTATTTTTTCACCGTACATTGACGAGATATCGAGCTTAATTTAGAGTTGAAGACCGGTTGTAGTCATAGCAAAGATAGTAAGAAGTTGTTCCGCAAGATTGTTGAGTCAGTCGGTCAAGGGGCAATATTCACAGTCGGATGTCATACGAAATTTCATCCGGAAACTCTGTGCAGCTAGCAAGACAGCTCTTACAGCATCCTAAAATGAACTTAAGACGATCTTAACTATTCACTTCAAGGAAAGAGATGTCTCGTCGTTGAGTAAAAAGAATAAATGAACGTTTTTCTCTTGCAATACGCATCTTTTTCAAGATGTCATTTTAACCGCTTTGAAAGGAATAAATCGATAGTTCTAGTGTTAAAGCTCCTGATCAGTCGCCGCGGCCATATTGGATTGATGACGTCAAAAGCGAGGAGAACCAAGCTCAAAATTCCTGCGAACCACGGCTAAATAAAAAGATGTATCATTAAAGTGGCACTTGCAATCTGTTCTGTACACCTGCGAAATGCTGCGGATACTCCTCTTGCCGAAATAACTATTACATAACCGCAGAATAAGTGTGACAAATCGCCTCGTTTTGATAGAAAATTAGCTGCATGACTCCGTGCCAAATATGATCGAATACTACTTATACGCATTAAATATCACAATAAGTACAGTATCCGGAACATTTCCACACTTCCACAATTGGAAGTGTATCACATGTGATAAGCATACACTACACTCAATGATAACGCTGTGATTTGCAAGAAAAAATTGGTCGTCTGTTTACATCATTACATCTGTTTGTTTTTTTATGAACTTTTGCACTAGTGCGATAAGTTAGAGAGAAACAGATATACTTTCTTATACTCTAACTCTCTCTGTCTTATCGCAAAAGTCTGCACTAGTGCAGAAGTTCATCATTTTGCTGTTTGCAATCATGTCGCCACCGTCGAAGTCTTCGGTTGACTGATCAGGGGTCTTAAGAATCTCTCATCCGAAGTGAATATGTTAAATATAAAGTCGGTCTATAAATACCGTCCAAAAAATTTGGTGAGAGGTTTGAGCCAAATTTATACAGATTCAATGAAAATGAATATTCATCAACTGAGTAATCGCGATTGCCATTGTCGTTTATGATCCATCACTAATGTTCCGGCAACATTCGTGTGCTTTAGTTGTAGAAGATGATCGGTTTATCGTCGAAAAGAATCGAACTTCCTGATTCGATAAGAATCCATGAAGTAAAGATCACATCGCGCGCGAAGATGATAGCACCTACGACAGATATGCGGCTTCTCGAAAAGTCAACAAACATGAAGTCGCAGGATGCGTAATCCTCGTAGCGCGCGTCCGACAGTGAACGTGACGTAAGCGTGAGCGCGTGTATTTCGGGCTCTGACTCGTATGAATCGAATATGTTTATATCGGTCTCCTCCCTAGCTTTCCCTCGCTTACGCCACCGCCGGCCTTGCTCTTCCTCCGTGAGCGATGCGACGAGCGTTCCGTTGGCGAGCAAAGCATAATCGCGGTGACTTAAGCCGGCCCCGCTCGTCGCCGGCGGGATTCATGGCAAAGTTTCAGCACAGTGTGTCAGTCTTGCGATCCAAAAGCTACTAGAAGCACTTCACAAGCGAAAACCACCACATCGCTCGGAGATATTCGCACGCAAGTTTCCGTGTGATACGCAATCGCTGGCAATATCGTTGAGTGCGCTCGAACTTCTCAAGTACTGGTGCGATTCGGTCTACTGATTCGATTGGCGGTGAAATCTCGCGCGACAGAAATCGGTAAGTGTCCCCTCTCCGTAAAACTGTGTGCCAATTGATCGGTTAGTTGATATTTAGACGAAGATCAATTGTATTTCATTAGGAAGTTATGTCAGAATCGACTCGGGGAAGTTCCACGCGCGGAAATTTTTCAAAGAGATCCACGCGAACAATATTTCACATGTGAAACGCCTCTAATTTGAGTTCAACACGTTGAACGCCGCGTCACTCACTTGTGGTCCAGTAAACATTTACCAACGTTACATTGATATTACAATTTCCCACTTAACAAGTGTAAGTACAATATAACATATGTTGTATGTAACATTTACGTTGTTGAATGAGATTATAACATTGATGTGACGTCAGTGTTAGTGTTGGTGTTTACTGGTGGTTGACAGTTCTACCTGCGCCCCATTCGAGACGTTTTTACTAAATATTTCCAAGAATATTGAATAGAAAAGAACAAAATTTCACTACCACAACAAAAGTTTAGGCCTGGCGGGACTCACACGTAATTCAGCATGGCGGTTTACGTGTTGAAAGCATTTTAAAGGCAACTTTAATTCTCTGAGCCGAATCATTTTGACCCGATTTTCTTTCGAACGAAATAATTTGAAGTACGTAGTAGTTTTGGAGCGTAATACACTATAGTTTGAATGACTTATTTCCACTCTCGAAATACTATACCCACTCCGAGCTTGCTTCAGTGTACGTGTGGCAGCCACGGCAATCGGGCGAGAAAGACTTCATACCCCAAAATAAATATAATTTTTGAAAAAAACGAAAAATCCAAGATAGCAATTTTAAAGCTTATGACCTTAACTACAAGATCCTGAAAGGATTTCCCTTAATATTAGGGAGCAAAAATTTTATGGATTTTAAAAATGTACTTTTTTCAGCAATGATCAACTTCAATCATAATTTTCATCTATTGAATTACGTTTTTTCTCAAAACTGACAATATTCCATGAAAATATCTCTCTTTAACTTCAAAAAGTGTCTCTATATTTTTTTTCGCAAAGTACATACTTTTCGAGATACGCAACTGAAAACATTGCATCGAGTCAATTGGAGCCGGTGTGCGTTCTGTGGAAGTTTACAGAAATGTGCGCTCGAAGGATTAAAATCATCCAACGTGCCAAGAACATCGCACTTACGCGGTACTTGCCAAGTGTAATGGTTAAACCGTCGCCCGGTCGGTATTGATCCTTCTCCACGTAGCTCTCTCTCATAATCCGAATACGTGAACGATAAAACTGACATGGTACGCGTCTCGCATTCTCATTGACTGTCTCTCCGCCTTCGCCGGCTTCTCTTCCTGATAATTGGCTGATGCCGCTCGATCGATTGCGTCGTGCACGTCGCCGGTTACCCGAAACTAACTACGTCGAGTACCGCCAACGCGTTCGCTCCTGATGAACGTAATTCAACATTTCCTCCGCTGTGTCCTTATTGAATCGCGAGACAATCGGAAGCGACGTGAAGACGATTAGTCGCGAATGCGTTGCCACTCCGTCCAAAAAGCGACGTTAACGCTTACCCGATTACTAAAACTCGCGTTTAACATATACTTTATTTTCTGCAAAGTTTCTTGAGAAAGCGAGAATCGTTTCTCGTTATGACAGACATTATCTGCGGAGACTTACAATAGAATTCTTTAGACGTTCCAACTACACGGAGATACAATTTTATAGTAAACAAATTTAAAGAGACATGTATTCATATTTATATTCCTATGAATATGATATATTCATAAATATATTATTTATAATCAGTGCAAAAGGTTTGTCGTATTCGTGAAATAAAGTAGAAAACAAAATGATCCAATTTCGAGCAATTAGTAATTTTTACAAGTAAAATAAGCAATATTAATTTGGTATTTTTTTAGACATAATATGCAAGGACTTCCTATTTTCTTTTTGATATCTCGGATATAATAGAGAAATAACAAATCTTTTGCACTGCGTGACCTGTTATCCTGTTACCTGTTAAATTTACTATGTTTTTTATCAAGATAAACTTTATTCCTGTGTTATTAGAAAACAGAATAAAATTGAGAAGCATTTAATATAAGAAAAGCCATAATATTGTTTCCGTTTGTATACTCAGAGAATATAAATTTCTGAGGAACAGGTTGTTCCAATTTCTTGGTAAATCAACTAATTAGTTAATTCATATAGTTAAATCACATGTCTGTCTTCGTCCAAGTTGAAGAGAAAACAAAGACAGACATATAATTTAACTTACTAAGAAATTGGAACAACCAGTTGTAAGACATTTTAAAGATGTCTAAAAAAAGTGGATATCTTTAAGACTCTTAGAAGTTTGTTCAGTTTGGATAATAACGATATTACTCTCGTGTATAAAAAACGCACCGAAATCTATAAAATATTTAGCGTATGGCAGCCTTGAATCTTGAGATGATTGTTCTCGATTTAGGTTGAAATGATGAAGATAAAAACCGCGAAACAGGAGGAATCGGCCATGGGCTTCAAAGACAAGCAGAAAGCGCTGAACATGCTGAAGTCCTTGGACGGCCGCGACATCAGCTATCAGTACCATGTGATTTTGACTTTCATTGGTCGCGCAAAAAGGACTATACAGATCACGCGGGACGAGGAGAAGCTGGCGAATCTACGAGAAGCCTTGAAGATCTTCGAAGACTGGCTGGCGGATTACAAGGAGAGAAACCGAGGAAAAGAGAACCTCGCGTATCTACCGATTGAGACGATTGAAGCCTTCCGCTGTCTCGCGAAGAAGTACGACGTGTGGAACGATGAGTTCTTCAAGTAAGGGATTATCAGTTTCTTTCAAACTGAAGACAATCTATATAAACGAATCTGCATCAATTGAAGAATATCTGTATGAAAGTTGAGACGTTGCTGTGCTCTCTTTTTATTAAGTGTGTGCGCAAAAGTTTTAGTCATTAATTCTGGTTTGTTCTCCAAGCCGATGTCTTTCCTTCGCGAAGAAATCTGAAACTTACTCGAGAGATGGCAAGAAGTCATAAAAAATTAGAGCATATATTTCGATGTGATTGAATTGTATTTTATATATTATGAAAATAAAATTTGCAAAGGAGGAAACTGAGGCTTTTGCACACATCACTTTTGATACATCAGGCATTGCGTTTTGATTGCTTATTGATTGATTCCATCATCGATTTTCAGAGCGTACAAGCGCGAGAAAGGCGACTACAAGAGCCTGCGCGCCGTGAAGACACCCAAAGAAGACAGTACATGGGACGTCGAGAGAAACAGACAGCTAAAGGACATCATCGGCAAGGTCAAGAACGAGATGCTCCAATGGTACGAGACGGACGTGGGCGATTTCCGGGGCCTGCCGACGAAAGAGCACACGCAATGCATCGTGCTCGCGTACAGCCCCGACCCGGCGAAGTTGAAGAAGCTGGCGGCTGAAGTACGCGAGAAATTTGGCGAAGACGATAGCGAGAACGACATGGACCTCGAAGAGGCAGAACAAAAAGAGAAGGCCATGAAGAGAGCTCACGAGAGCTCGTCGAGCAGCGACGACGACAGTGACAGCGGCGAGCCGGAGAAGAAGAGCGCGAAGCGAACGGAAGAACCGGAAGCGCAGGAGAATCAGCAGAACGAGAAGGCCGAGAATTCGCTGGGCTTCAAGGACAAGGAGAAGGCCCTGCAGAGCATCGAGTCCCTGAAGGGTCGAGACGTGTCGTATCAGTTCTACGCGATCAGCGGCCTGATAAAGAGAGCCGAACGCGTGATCTCGTGCACGAAGGACGAGCAGAAGATCGAGAACATGAGGGAGGCCGTGGAAGTTTTCGAGAACTGGATCACCGACTATAACGTCAACGGCCGGTCGAAGGAAAACTTCAATTATCTCACAATTGACATCGTGCGGGCTTTCGAGCCGCTTGCCGAGCGATACGGCATCGAAGACAACGGCTTTCTCAAGTAAGTCTCCTTTGGTTAGTAATATGAACAGGATTGGGGGAGTTACTCGAGTCTTACTTAACCCTTTGAGTCCCAATATAATACCCTTAAGACTCTTGGGCACTTGTATCGTCCATCTCTTCTTAATGACGTTAGAAGCGAGGAAATGCACCCTAAAAATCCTTACGAAATAAAATTACATTGAAATAAATAAATATATAATATGTATAAATACAAACATATATATATATATATATATATATATATATATATATATATATATATATATATGTATGTATGTATATATATATATATAATAAGTAAATCACATTGAAATAAAAAGATATATCCATAAAACGACACTTGATTTACTTCAACAATTACAAATGTCACTTTACAGTTGTATTCTTTTGCTTCAATATATCTCGCAAGAATTTTTAGCATGCGTTTCCTCGCTTTCATTAAAAAGAGATGGACGATACGAGTATGTAGAAATCTTAAAGATATGGCATACAATATTTCTTAAGATAAAAATACTTTGTTTCATTTCTCTTAACGTCGTTTAATAAAGCGCTTTTGAATTATCAAGTAAATAAGTAATTCACTTATCTATAAAAAAACGTTTTTATCTTTTCAACTTTCTAATTTTTTAATTTTCAATTTTTATTTTCTCGTCAATTTTAAAATTGTTTAATTTTTTCTTACTACGACTACCTATCAGATCAAACTTCTGAAACACTATTCACGCTTATTCTGCTATTCCTCTATTAAAATAACACAGCATTTTAAATAAAAAAAAAAACCGATACTCAAAAAGTTAAGCTTCTTAACTTTTGAAAGCAACATGTTACTTATTGAAACAAGTAATTTAGTATTATTACTGTTACGCTAACAAAAAATTACGCTGTTACCAAATTTTACTAAAGTCACTGAAAAAAAGGAAATTTTAAGGCTACAAGACATACGTTGTTTCCCAATTTTACAAATATAATTTTCTACAGATAATAATTGTTCTTTCAATAATGAGATATATATTTGAGTAACTGTTGAAGTATTTCCTCATCACATTGACTTCGACAGAGTGTACGAGGAAGCCGAGGGCGATTACAAGAAGCTTAGATCCATCCGAGTGCCCGAATCGGATGTTACATGGGACGTGAAGAGAAACGAGAAGCTGCGGGAGATGGTGAATCGCATCAAAGAGAATTATATACAGTGGTTCGACACAGACGCCGAGTTTCGGGGCTTGCCCACGGCGGAGCACACGCGATGTATTATGTGGGGCTTCAGCCACGACGTCGCGAAGCTGAAGAAACTCTTGCCCACCTTGAGCGAGAAGCTGAAACCGGCCGACGACTAATGTCGCAATTTTTAATAAATTGTTGGGTCGTTGCCGGAGAACGCATGGTCGGTTTATTTAAAAGCCCGACATTCTTTTATGATAACGTAATAGAAAACAGTACGTTGCGTTATTACATCATTATATGTTGTACGTTGTCTATGTTGTATAGAGTTATGTATATGTGCATCACGCGAGCGTTTTACTACAATAAATATTTTGTTATGCCCGTAAGAGAAAAAAATAATATCACGCGTTTCGAATGGAGTCAAGATAGATAAGAATCAAGATGATAAAGTAATATAATATAAAAAACACATATTATAGACGTTAATTATTAGATAATAAAGAAAAGGAATTGTGTAATATACACGATATATATATATATATATATATATATATATATATATATATATATATATATAAAACTTTAGAAAATTCTTAAAAAATGTTTACCTCTTTATAATTTCATCTTCAGCAACATTAAATTAATTATTAAATTATAAAAAAAAGATATCGCGCGTGTATGATATATACAAACACATATAAGACTGGAGAAAATTTGGCTTTTTATAATTTCATCTCCGACAACATTAATAAGAGTACAAATTATGAAATTAGAAAGGAAAGGAATGAAGAAATCTCGTGTAATGTACATGAACATATACTGAGAAAAAAAATATCTGAAAATAAACAATATTTATTTGATAAGTATTAATAACACATTTACTTAGATCTAAATTCTCTTACTTAAATATAACAATTAGTTTTATGGGAAAAATTAAATTTAAAAAAGTTTAGATTTAAAAAATATATATTTACTTATTTGAAAGATATTTCCCTAACAGCACAGATATCCCATCACAAAAGTCCTAAGGACATTTCTTCGGATCTTTCAGGACAAAGTCCTTAAAAGATCTTGTGCTGTCTGGATTAATATTAATATAAGTAAATATGTTATTATAGAGAATATATAAATATTTTTAAAAAAATTTTTCTCTCGGTGTATATATGACTTCAGAAAATTTATCTTTTTATAATTTCATCTTCAGCAATATAAATAGGAATTATTAAATTATAAAGGAAAAGTATCATCTCAGTAAACATCAAGTAATAATAACATTACATTAATGTTATAATTTTCCATTCAACGATGTGTTACATAACATTTGTATATAACAATTTATATTGTTGAGTTGGAAAATTATAACATATATGTAGTGTTATTCAATGTTTACTGGAATGTAATATATATGAACATACATGACCTTAGACTAAAATTGATCATAGTTATATAAGAATGATCCAACAGACAAAATTATGATTTTTGAGTTTCTGTTTTACCAATGAGTAAAATAGCTCATGTATATGTGTTTTTTCTACATAAAAAAGACTCAAGCTCTATGCGTGCCTAAAATTAATTAAAAAATAGTTTTTATTTTCTTCTAGTCGTGCCATTTTTACCAGTTGCGTTTCTTTTTACCTATCTTTTAAAGGTTAAGCTTGTCAATGTATATAAAAAAAAATACATTCTACTTGACTTCTTGAACAATTGCGAAAAATCTCTCAATGCTATCCTATATATTTTAAATCTATCAAATTTTCATTTTTATTTTTCTCAAAACGTACTTCACATATAAGTCGGATAATTCTTACATAACTATATACGGCCGATTTACCTTTTTTCAATATTATTTTCGATAACTGCCTTTCTCTTTCTCTCCCCAAATTTGGCTCCAAGTTTAATCCTCAACGCCGTTTTCCGATTAAAAGATGTATATGATTTTGGCAATGCCATTCTCCGATTAGTAGATGATACTCAATGTTCCTTGGAGATAATTGGTCTGTTCTTTCGCTCTGCACTGCTGCACTAGTGCAATAAGTTAGTGAGATAAATATATATTTGTCTCTCCCTAACTTATTGCACCAGTGCAGCAGTGCGAGCAAAAGAACAAACCAAATGCCAAAATATTTTCCAAAAAAATCTCAGCTCGCGTTCTTCCGCCACGACGATTAGGCCGGAACTTCGACATTAATGCCACCTCCCGGAGCCGCGGTTAATCACCTGCCGACATCACGCCGCGATCGATCATATACCAGCTGTGCGCTCGGCTACACTCGCGAGACGCGAGATGGTGACGCAATCGCCCGGCCGGAGTTTTTTGACTGCGGCGGGCTCAATCGATAGTTTTTATCAGTTGCGGCCTCGCGGGTAGGGTGAGCCTCGCGCTTGGCACCGGTTTTGAGGTTAGGGTTAGTGACTCGGTGACACTCGGCAACGACGGTGAGTTTTCGTGCGTGCGTACGTGCGTGCGTGTGTGTTCGCTGTCGCGAGAGCGCATCGCTCTCTCGTCGACGCGTCTCTCTCATAGACACACACATACGCAAAAAGGACGAGAAGCCGACGGAGAAGAGACCGTCGCGACGCGTCTCCTCGCGGTCGTTGTCGCTCGTTCGCGCGTGCGAGAGAAAGAGAGAGAGCGAAGATCTCTGTTTATATCGCGCGCACGATATAACGGGTAATACACGAAGGAGAGAGAGACAGAGCACCGCGGCGGGTGGCATCCGCCGCGCGCGTCTAAAAATAGCGACGGCGATTCCTACGGCGCGCGTCGAGGCGGATTCCGCCGTGGACAAGGAAGAGAGAGGAAGGGCGTCCCGACGGAATCCTGAGAACGGGACGCGCCGATGACACGAGGTCGAGACGCGTGACGCGCCAACGTGTGGCGAGAGAGCCGCCCCCGCAGCAGCCGGCTTCCTCGACCCTTCTCACCTTCCGCGAGTATCCGCCGATCTCCAGCGGCGACTGCGGCATACCGTGAGCCCCGGAACGTGCCTCCCAGCGACCGACGCGGATCCCGCGTTCTCGATTGAGCGATTCCCAGTAAGCGAGCGTCCTCGCGAGGCCGCTTTCCCGCTCGCGGCGGAGCGGGGTCAGTCGAGGTTATCGCGAGGTGAGTACGATGTCCGCGGTGTATCGCTATATTTGTATGATCTGCGTTTACATCTGGCAAGATTCTGTATTTCCTTCCTCTACTCCTTCGAATTGGACTAAAGCCTAATCCACAATGTGCTCTTCGCTTTCTATTTCTTGTTCTCTGTCTCTTTCTGGCGTAAGACTTAAGGTTTGAGTCAGATAAAGAGAAAGAAAGCAAAAAGTACATTATAAATTATGCTTTAGGGCCGATTTCTCTAATCTCTTTGTAAGAAAGAGAGAGAGAGCTAATTAACAGTTAAATTATATGTCTGTTTTTGTTCTTCAAATTAAACAAAAATAGACATATGATTTAATTGTTAGTTAGCTTATTAAGAAGTTTGCAAAATTAGTCCTTAGGACCGATTTTTTTAAACTGCTGGTAAGCTATCAGTTAAATTATTAGTCTGTCTAATTTGAAGGGAAAACAAGGACAGACATGATTTAATCATTAGTTCACCAAAAGGTTGGAAAATTCGGCCCTTAAGATAATGTTTGTACTCATCTATTTATGTATTAATTAATTTTATTAGCGTATATTGTGCTTTCGCGTGCACGTTCTTTAAATTTTTATGATATAATCTTCAACTCAATTTACATGTCTAACAAGTAAAAATAAATAATTCAAGTGTAGCAGTCTGCACGATGTTGATCTTGTTATCTAAAAATGACTATGAGATCTCGTTCCGAGAAGTCAGGATATTCAATTATTTCATCTTGATAATTATGATCTTGACTTTTGAGTGAACTGGATATCGTTTAATCACGATAATATCCGGATAGACTTTCATGAATGCCACGACACAGTCGGTAATGGAAATTTTAATTGCGTTCACATGTATGAAATAAATATACTGTATCGATTTAATCATTAAGTTGGCATCATACAATAATATGTAAATCTGTTTGTTGTATTGACGCAGCTACAAATTTGCTAAATACAATATTCAGATTTTTATATTATATTTTGCATGGCATATCGTTTTGAGCAAATTTTGATCATTCTTTTGGTATTTTTTTTTTTACATTTTATGTGTGATAAATATCTATAATCTGATTCGTCATGAGGGACTCGACTCTGCTAGATTTCCTATACTGAAAGCTTACGCACATCAGTCCGTCGGGATCAGTTTCGCGAATGATTTCGCAGCAGGAAGCGCCTATAATACTCCGCTCCATTTTGCCCGATTGCATTTCCCTACTGCCCGCGTTCTCATAAGTAAATCCTATCTCTAACAGGTTTTTCTTCTGCCGCAGTGGTATTCCGGAGCAGCGAGTGCGGTGCTTTTTTGCGCGGATCAACCAGGCTCATCTTCTCGTCGCGTGACACTCGAGGAAGCCACGCCGAGTCGTCGTTATCGTCGCCGGGCTACGCGATGACACCCGAAGACCCTTCGTCTCGGCACGCATCGCCGGCTACCGCGAGGTAGACGACGAAAGGCAGTCGAAGAGCGGCGTCTCCTCGCGAGAAAGAGCGTCTCCTGGTGTCTCTCGCGGAATTGACATTCGACCAGCGGGCGCGCAAATGAGGCGTAGAGCGCACCGCGACACCGACGCGGCGAGGAGGACATTACCACCGCTGGAACCGTTTGTTACGATGGCTGAGCGCGAGCTCCAGATGTGAGAGGAAAGATGTCGCAGACCGCGGATGCCGAAAGCGAGACCGGCTCCATTTGCGACGAGGAACGCGTCCGGAAGCTGTTCCAAGCATGCGACGGCGACGGCGACGGATACATCGACAGGTGAGTAGATGTAGTGTGTCCGAAAGTTCATTTGACTCTATGTAGTAAGCAAATCTTTTATCATTTTTTTCATATTTTATTTTAATTTAATATCTTTGTTTTAATTCAATATCTTTAATTCAAATTTTTGTTTTAATTTAATATCTTTGATTTAAATGCTAAACTTTATTATAGAATGTCAAGTGTATTTATTCTATTGTTCTGTTGCATGTGTTGTCATAATTATTATTTTTGTAACTTCCTCCACAGACTAATATACATAAATTTTACAGCAATTTTTATATTAAATTACAAAATTTAGCAATGTTGAGTTTCTCATGACTGATCAGATTGCATATTTATTACACAGAATGACGAAGTAGGAAATATATCCTTCTGGAAATATATATATATATATAAAAGTCTGTGGAGAAAATTACAATAATTATGACAGCAAATGATTATGTTACGATAAAATAAATACTGCGTTCTAATAAAGTTTAGCATTTAAATCAAAGATATTAAATTAAAATAAATTTTAGTTTGCCTACTACATAGAGTCAAATCAATATTTTCTTTGATAACATTTCATAATGTTTTTGTAAACAGAATAATTTTTTTCTTAAGTACATGATAGTGAGCAACTAATTCAAATTTATAAAATTTGTGATGAGTATAAAAAAATACTCTTTGTTGAAGATAATTATTACTCAAAAGAGAGAAAGTAAAGTGAGTAATCGCTTTTCTTAACAGTATAATATTATTGTTCTGTGTGTATATATATTTACGTGCATCAACTAGTAACTTTCTATTATAAATTATCTTAATTTTAGTGATGCGTGTAAACAACAGTGTACTCAATCAGTACACTGAGAGTAAGATTATCTAAAAAATTAAAAATATTTATTCGATGGTTACTAACAACACATTTACTTAGATCTAAATTCTTTTATTTAAATATAAATATGTTATTAGTATTGGACATTAATCGATTAAAATTATTCTTTTACTAAAATGATTGAAATCAATAAGCACAATCAATCAGTCGTCATATATATATAATTACGAATGATGTAATCGCTTAATAAAGTTAATTATTAATCAATTAATTAATTACATCAAAATTTAATTTTGATTTAATTTCCTGCAGTGATATACTTCTGAGATGAAAAAGTTGAATGGTAATATTAAATCCCTTTTGATTTATTTGAATTATTTTATTTTTTTAATTTATAACAAATACAAGTTAGATATATTTTGTTTTCTATTTTGCACAATTTTTCAAAGAGAAAATAGCAATAAAGATAAAAGAAATCTAGGTATGCATATTTTTAAAAAGAAAAACTACTTTGTAGGGGAAATCGCGTAGTTATTTTAAATCACAACTGAAGGAGTTAATAATTAATTTCATCAATCGACGAAATGATTTGTGATTTTATGTATGACGATTGATTAATTTTGATTATTGATTTGCCGATTGTCAAAGTCAAGAAAATTTTAATCGATTAAGGCCCGCGACACTGATTATTACATACCGAATAAATATTTTTTATCTTATCGATACTTCTCTCTCAATGCATCACACACAGTACAATACGTCTTTTTCACCTTTATTGCACCACCCTGACACGCCTTTGTTTGCACGCATTGTCGTTATTAGGATAATTTAATAAAATGTGTGTCAAACAATCGGTGTAAAGTATGGCGTAGCTTCGGAGACGATTGCTCTGCCTCGCCGGGGACGGATAAATTGTCTCACGGCGCAAATTCAATTTTTCTTTCTGCGGCCGGCACTCATTATTTTACATCGGCAGTTATTCCACGTTTCGCGGCGGCGGCGGCGATGGCGACGGTACTTTAACAATGCGGGGATAAATTCCACTCGTGGAAAATTCGGTGCTTCGCGCGGTTACGCAATTAACGACTGATACTGCGCGCGCGGAATGGAAAGGGCTCGCTCTCGTGTGTAGAGTGTAGAGAATGCGCGCGCTCTCCTGCCCGCCGTCGGTCTGTACGTACGTTTTAATTATTTCTTCAATTAATTAAAGCCGTCTCTCGTGTGCGGCCTCTCTCTCTCTCTCTCTCTCTCTCCCCCTCTCTCTCTCTCTCTCTCCCTCTCTCTCTCTCTCTCTCTCTCTCTCTCTCTCTGAATACGCACCGAGCTGATTCCCGCGAGACTTAACGAATGCGCGCGTCTAGCGCGCGGCGTATTTCTTTTTATCCGACGTACCAACTCTTCGTTGAGTAAACTGTCGGGAATCCCGATAATAAGTTCGCGATTATTTACGAGAGAAATAGAAACAGAGAGAGAGAGAGAGAGAGAGAGAGAGAGAATAAGAGAGAAAGAGAGAGAGAAAATTTCTCGCGAGTTGTTAACTACACAGTAAAAACAAATTATTAATTTTAACATTTTTCACATTCCAAAAAGTCCATTCTGAATTTTGTATAAAAAAACTCATTCGTGGTGTGTTATTTATTGAGGAATTGCGAATGTTAATTAACAGACATTCACTAATTTTTTTTCTTACATTTATATTTGCTATTTTCACTTTAAGCATAATGTAAAAATAAAGGATAGTAATACACGGAAGAGTAATTAAAATAACTCGTAAGGGAGGAATGCCGATAGGATATTTTTATTCATATAATGGAAATGTATACAAAGATGAACGCGTTATAACTGATTTTTCATGTTATATATGATATTAATTATTTTAACTTAATTAATTTGTGATAGAAACATTTTCTCTCAATAAATTTGATTATTTTATATGCAAAATTTACAACGATTCGAAGACTCATTTTTAATTTTTGTTAATATTAGAGTGACTTTAAAAAATGTTATTTCTTTTAATAATTGTGTTAAAAAAACTCGAAATAATATTCCATTTCTAAGTAACATATAGAAAACATTGAATTATCAAGTTGATATTAATATAACACATTGAAACATCACGAAAATGATAACATATCGATAATATATTAATTTTACGTTGAATAACAGTGAAAAACTAGTAACACGTGTTAACATTTGTTCGCAAGATTCCTGACTGTGTAACTTCATTTTCCTCCCTTATTTTGTTGTCTAACTCACGACACAAGTATTGTTACTTCCGTTTTTCCTTTCTCTCTTTAAAATTTTTGTTCGTTTATTCGTGAGATCGATCCCACACATCCTGGTTTCTCTCTCTCTCGTGCGTTTACTTTTTTTCCAATAGAAATAATCGTAAAAAATAACTCGCTAATATATCAAGAAATTATTGCAGTTTTAAATACGTCGCGATCTCTCTCTCTCTCTCTCTCTCTCTCTCTCTCTCTCTCTCTCTCTCTCTCTCTCTCTCTCTCT